CTTTTTCTTACTTTTTCTGACTATTGACTTTTATGATTTTCGCCATATTAAACATATCTACAACTCACAAGTAACCATTATACGCAAACATGACACAATTATCAAGAAGGCATCATCAAGGTGTCAACAAGGTTATCAAACCAGAGTACAGATCAAATGAGAGTACATATCATATTACTCAAAAATAAAAGTAAAAATTTGTCAATTGATCGTCTCAAAGGGTTTTATCCAAATCATCTTTGATCACAAACAACAATTACAAATTAAAAGAAATGGGAGAAGACAAAAAGGTAAGGAACTATCACTATCCTTGTGTTTAGCCACTAAGATATATGAATAATTCCCTCTTACCTCAAAAGTTATGCAAAAATGGAACCTTGGCTATGGAGTCTTCCCTTCAAAGAGCTCTCATAGAGCTCTCATAGGGTTTTAGTCTCTTTCCACTCTTTGACTCTTTTCTCCAACTTTTCATGCATTGACAATTCTGTTTCTTCTCTCAATCTTTTTTATTTAAATTAACTTAATTTTATTTTAATTAGATTAATTCCACCACCTCCCTTTTATTTCTCTTTAATTCCACCTCATTACTCTATTTTAATCAATCTCTAGTTTTATATTATTTTAATTAATTTACATATTAAATTAATTCTTAATAATAACTTAATCACCCAATAATTAAATAATACTTATTGAATTAAATAAAAGCATATCAAAACTCAAATAATTATAAAGAGTAATATTAAAAATATTTAAATAATACTAATAATACTAAAATGAAAAATGGGATATTACATCCATTATCCATGATACTATCCTTCCTGCTAGATTAGGCTTATTCAAGACTTGTCAAACATGATAATTGGGTTTTCTCAAGATCTTGTAACCCTGAAAGTATGGTCTCAATTTTCTCGCCGCAATGACGATGACTAGAGCCAACTTTTCGATCTTCTGATAGTGTGCCTTATTACCTTCGAACACTTTTCTTACGAAATACACAAGTTTTTCTACCCTGTAAATTTCTCGGACGAGGACTAACCTCGTCGTCTAATCAATGATCGAGAGGTATTAGGACGAGGCGATGTGAGGAAGTTCTTAATTTTGTTGAAAGCCTCCTCGTACTCAGGAGTCCATACAAACATCTCCTTCTTCTTTAAGGCGACGAAAAAAAGGAAAGTTTTGTCACCAGTGCAGGAAAGCATGTGAGATAGGGCGACAAGGCGACATGTGAGCTGTTGCATTTCCTTTACATTAATGGGGCTTTTCATTCTGATAACTTTTTGGCACTTGTTTGGGTTGTCCTTGACGTCTCTTCATGTCAGCATGAAGCCTAAAAACTTCCCTGACTGAACCCCGAAAAAGCACTTGGCAAGGTTTAGGATCATATCATATTTCCTAATGGATTGTAGGACATCTTCCAAGTCCTCTGCATGGTTACACCCTTCAATAGTCTTAAATATCATATCATCAACATAAACCTCCGAGTTTTTCCCTATCTTGTGCGCAAAAACAACATCCACGAAGCTCTGGTAGGTGGCGCCAGCGTTCTTGAGGTCAAAATGCATGGCATTGTAGTAGTAATTGCCAGGGTTCGACATGAAGAATTTTTTGGGCGCGTCTAGGGGATCCATTTGAATCTAGTTCTACCCTAAATACACATCATGAAGCTCAACTTGCAATAACCTGATAATCTGTCAACGAGACGATCAATGTCTGGTCGTGGTTTACGGATCTCTAGGGATGGTAGCTTTCAGATTGGTGAAATCTATGCACATGCGCCATCTGATGTTAGCTTTCTGTACTAGAACTACATTATCCAACCATGTTTGATACTTCATTTCTATGATGAACCTGTCGTCAGATAACTTTCCCACGTATTCATTTATAGTCGCCCTCTTTTCCTCGCCAACTATTTGCTTCCTCTGCACCACTAATTTTCCAGGAGGGTGGATGGTGAGGCGATGACTCACCACTTTGGTGTATATTAATGGCATGTTAGAGGGAGCCCATGTGAACAAGTTGGAATTCTTAATGAGTTGGTCGACTAGTTCTCTTTTCTCATATGCATACAAAAATGTACCTATCTTCATCACCTGATGGGCGTGAGGACCTATATAGACCTCCTTAAAATCTTTTGTGGAGTGAGCCTTTTCGCTTTCACTCCAAATTTTGGGTCTCAACACTCGAAGTCAGTATTTGAAACTTCAGAAGGAGATTATCAACAAGGGTGAGCACTTCTTTGACTATTTCCAAGCTACTCATGTAGCATTTGTGAGTTGCTTGTTGATCCCCTCAGTGTACCGACTCGCCCATCAAGGAACAAATATTTCAAGGTCAGGTACATAATGGATACGAATACTCCCAGGGCGTTGATAGTCATCCGCTCAAGAATGATGTTATATGGTGATACAACGTTCACAATGAGAAAACTTACGCCAATCATCATGGCATAGATTCCCTTTCCACATGTGGTTTTCAAGGTTAAGTGACCCATTGTTTGTACTTTTCGCCTGATAACCTTGTCAAAGAACCATTAAATGTTTTTATTTCATTTGGGTCGAGTTGCAGTTTCTGGGAAGAGTCTAAAAACAAGACATCAGCAGAGTTGTCAGGGTCTATCAAGACGCGTTTGATGTCTTAGTTTCTCTGTTGAATAATGATGACCAGAGGACTGTCATCATAAGGGTTGAGTCTGAGGGTGTCCTCCTATAAAAAACTGATATTGACCCATGTTTTTCCTTGAGAGCTTATGGGGAAGCTAAAGGATATTACATTTGCCGCAAATATCCGCCTTGTGTACTTCCTCTGTGAAGATCTAGAATTAACTCCACATGTGAAGCCTCCGACGACAGTGTTTGTGTAGTAGGTTGAGGTTTTGTCGGCCATCTTCGAGGGGAATATGGAGAGAGTTAGAGTAGGAGTATGACCCATTTGGTTTTATTAGGGTCCCATGGTGGGCGCCATTGTATTGGTAAAAAAGTACAGGTGTGCATGGTCCCAGGGAGACTTAGAGGCATAATAGTTTTCTAACATGATATAATGGTTAGAGTTTTTCCACGAAGGCAGGAAGCCCTGCACGGTGGTGTTTTGAGTTAGTTTAAGAGACCTGCTCACATGAGGTGAAAGACTCTGGTAACGAGCAGAGATGCTTGGTAGCAAGTGTATAATTATAGACAGTCGTGTGTTAAGACTATAGTGAGCGTTGTGCTATTTAGGTTGTAGCAAATATGTATGACTTAAGGTCTATCCTTCTCCCCTTGAGAGGATATGTATCTATAGAGGTCTCTAAGATCTAGGGTTTTCTTGGGAAGGGTCACCATCCACTTAATCTATGGTGGACAATTTAATTCCTATTTTTAAAAGAGTCATGCGGTCAATTAATGACCATGACTTTCTCTCTTTTCAAAAAGTGTCTTATCTCATGTTTTCCATATAACGACGATGAAAAAACCATAGAGCGACGTGATATCTCCCTTTAAACGACATTCTATCGTCGCCTATTCTAAAGAATTCTAAAAAATTGCCTTTTATAAATATAATACTACCATTCTATTTATGCAGCATATTCTATGTTTCTAGACATAAATCACATGAACAACATTTTTCTCTTGCATAACATGCTTGTCACTAATGGTAATGAAGTTTAATCAAACAAAAATATCTGTACTCTAACATTACGAATCAACAGCCTAGAAATATTTAGTAAAATAGAAAATATAAACTAAATAGAAAATATAAACTAAGTGAAGTGAAAGAACTCAATGTATTTTTTAGTGAGCCAACAGAAATAAATATTAGTATAATTTTTAAATTTTATAACTATGTAAAGTCAAATAGTCTACCCATCCCTCATACAAGTAACTCTAGTGAATAAAAGAGTATTTTAAACCAAACTAATTAAAATAAAAATTAGCTCATTTTAACAATTTTTACATAAAACAAATCAATATCTATCTAGTCACAATCACAAATCAAATTTACTTAAATATACAAAATTAAATGATATTTTTTAACAAGTTGAGCATAAAGAAATTATTAAGTATAAAGAAATTAATAATAAGTTAACTAAATAAACTAATAATAAAAATTTAAATTCGCTAGAATTTAAACTATAGATGTTTTGATCGATTTTGAAACAAAATATTATCTGATTTAAAAAAAAATTTATTTGCGGTTTTGTTCGATTTTGCATTATTGATTACAAAAATTCTATTATAATCCGATATAATATCATGCGATTTAATTTGAATTAATTTTTTGAATATCCAAATTATAAATTATATCTTTTATTAATATTATAAAAATACTAATAAATAATAAAATTAATATAATATATAATATATATATTATATTAAAAGTTAATATTATAAAATAATAATAATTGTTATTGGTTGAAATAAATAAAATATTAAAATTAAATAGATTAAATCAAACTAATAAATAGTATTTAAAAAAATATGTATTATCTATTAATAAATTAACACAATATAGAATGCTAATAATAATATATGTATTTTCATGCGATTTAATATATACACACACGATTTAATCTAAATCAATTTTAAAAAATTAATTCAAAATTTGATACAAACCGAACCGATTATAAAATAACGTTCAAACAAATTCAATAATTTTCAATTTTTTATCATTTTTGATTTTTTTTTTTTATTAATTACAATTTTATTTGGATTGTTTGGGGCCTTGAACCTAATACCATTTGGCATTTGTTAAAAAAAATTGAGATCAGAATTCCCTAACTTTATTTCAGGAAAGACATGCAACGTTCTCTACCTAAGCACCATTGGATGCATCGAACGGTTCAGATGCAAATCATAGTTTTTATTCTTTTTATTAAAAAAAAGCATAAGCAGACCAAAGCTTCGCGAATCTCTGCTCCGAACTCTGCGTCGTTACGCCGCCGTGGTCGCCGCCGCCGCATTACCGATCTGAGCGCCACTGAGGTTGAGATTGCGAAGACTGTATATTCAAATTTATGATTGAAGATGTCGAGATTGCGAAGACTGTTCCAAGCATCAATGGATGCTACTAAGAGAGGTATTCAAATTTACTGAAACTAACTGTTTTGATTCATTATTTCATCTCTCTCTAATTGTGTTCATTATTACTATAGCTGTATCCGGTAGTTTTGATGATTTGATGCCTCCACCTGAAAGATATATATTCAACTTCAATTCCAAGAAAGAGTTAACCAAATGGCATTTGTATTCCGATTCTGAATTCGGAGGTGCGTTAGTTTTTCATAGTTACCATTTTTTGTTACTAAAGTTTGCAGCTTTGGTTAATTTAATTTTTAGGGTTTTTTGGTTTTTCATTGTTGTTTAGGGTTATCCTCTGCATCTCTGCAGATACCTGAATCGGAAAGTGGTACAACTACTGGGATTTTCTCTGGGAATCTTTCTCTTGAGGTTACTCAGGGGGCTAAATGGAACATTAGTAGAGGTGGATTTTGTGGAATGCGCTCTAAAAAGGTTGCTTGTTTTTCTTTCTTTTCGTCAAATGCTTAGTTCAACAACAATATTGATGGCTTTAGAGCATTTTGGATTGAATTGTATGATTGGCTTATTTTAGTTTTTTTATTGGCATTAATTAGAGTTATCGATAATGGCGCTATCCCAGGATAGCTACCCGGAGCGGTGACCCTCCACTATGGAGGAGCGGTTCGCGTTTCAGTTTGAGATTGCGGCCGTGATTTGACGAATTTTTCCAAATTTCCCTAACTCAGAACACAAAACAAAGGATTCAATCTTCTTCTCACATGCTTTCGCTTCAGTTTTCAAGTAGTTATTCATACAATTAGTCCAAAAGATAGTCAAATAGCGGTTATACTGCTATCTGCTATCCCTCTATCCCATTTTTGGGGTCAGTTGCTCCGCTCTGCTATCTGGGATTGATAACTTTGACATTAGCACTGAGATTGTGTGAGAGTTTATGAAAACAACCTATGATATGTTCATGAGCTATTTTCAACTTATTTGAGGAAACTCTCTTGGATAGTTTATGAAAACTTCCTTTGACATATATGTAAACAAAAGTATGATAAACGCCTATGCTTTAAATATCAAAATAAGGCCTAAATTAAGCTGTCTTTCTGCAATAATATGTTTTTGCAGTTTGATGGGTTCATTGACTTGGATTCATATGATACTATAGCTATGAAACTTAAAGGTGATGGAAGATGTTATATATCTACTGTGAGTGCCATTTTCTTTCCCAATGCTAAAATGTTATGTTATTATAGGAAACTTAGAGGGTTTTAATGCTACTTTGATTTTGGTGCAGATCTACACAGAGAATTGGGTTAATTCACCTGGACAGATGGAGGATAATTCGTGGCAATCGTTTATTTATGTGCCTAAAGACAACTGGTATATTGCAAAGGCAAGTCCCATTTCCATCTATCTGTTTACAAGTTTATAAGACAAATTTGAAAAATAACCTAATGACCCCAACTAGGCTTTCTGTTCGTATTGTGATAACCTGCAATTTCGTATGAAGTATTCTCAAATAATTTGAGTGACCCACATACAATACCGTAATGCTTGTGGCTGTTTTTCCTGCCATAATATAAACTACCTTATTAGTTATGCCAAGTTAAATTGCAAGAAGTAATTACCTTGATGGACTGTTACTATGGGAATAATGACTCAATAAGCTGCATCGAAAGCACATACACCTTGCTCTTGTAGCCTTCCATCCATTTTTCTTGGAAGACTTATCCTACTCTTGCAATGTTTGAGAACAAGTGGTCTAGTTTGTGATTAGAAATAGCGTGCTGGCGTTTTAATTATACAAATTTCTGGAGTATAACATATTAACAATATACATGGTTGCTATGAACCAACTCTCCCAAAAGTTTGAAATGTTTGGTAAAATCGGGGTAGCTTGCTTTACAAATTGTTTGTGTGTAAACCTAGGTAGACTCACTAAAAGTCAGGAGTTTGAGGACAATTGAACATGCCTATGATTTAGTGGGTTCTTTTACATGCCTAAAATGACAGTGATTTTTAAAATACACAACTGCAACAGTTGAAATGATAAGGCTCCATAGTAGACAAAATACAAATCTTATATTTCTAACAAGATAGTTAGACTTTGTTGTGAGTAATAGTTAATTAATCAGGAATTAGTTACTCAATTAGTTGTTCACTTGAACTCTAAAAATTGGACAACCATGTACATAATTCATCATCTTTTTTTATCAATCAATATGATTCTTTTTGAGATTTTACCTTGTGAGTATTCCTATGCTCCCTTTCTTTCTTATGAGTATGTTCTATGGTCCTATCATCCCATGATTCTTCATAGTAACACGCAGCTCTATAGATGCACTTAACATTCCACCTTGAATTTGTCTACAAAGGATGTGAATGATGTTCAAGTGTGTTTCAACTCAACTCTCTACCTCAGTCCCAAATTGAACCAAATCATGAATAAAAAAACATGCAAAAACTCATTGTTGCAAGTTTGCAATGAAACCAAAAGGCCAACTAGGTGAAAGAACCCAACTCTGCTGAGTTGATACCTAGCTCTACTGAGATAAGTTCATTTCCAACTAGAGGATCCCAGTCCAGTCATCCTTCACTCTATTAATATTGAACATTGTTATTTGTCGATTTGCCCATTGATTTTAAACTTGCTATTCTTTTTTCTGTGACGAATCAGGAACTTATCTTGTGCTTTTTGAATTTGTTAATCAAATTTTATTATTGATGCTAGGTTTGTGTATTTTGTTACGTTTTCTTCTATTTTGGTGTGGTCTCCTATGGTTTAAGCCGGGTCTGGCCCAGTGTTGTTAAATAGAAGCGCTGTAGCATAGCGGATCTTGCTGAATTTGCTATGAAAATCGCAATGCTATCCCAGTTTCTACGTATAGCGGTTGCTGTTCCAGTTTCTACTAGCTGATAATATAGTGGCAATAGCAGAAAAAGAAGAGTTGTATGATTTTTTAAATAATAAGTTTGAAGAATCTGCATGTGTACCAAACATGGCCTATTATAAAAATAGAAAAACTGAAGAGTTAGTGAGTATTACTCCTATATTCACCTTAATGCATAAACCTTTCAATATGGGAGCTAAGTTTTTCCACATTACCTTTTTTATTCGTTTGCAGCATGTCTTTTTTCTATATAATTGACTTATTTAAACTGATATGCGGATTCCGCTATTTGACCGAGTTGCTATTTTCTATTTCACATAGTTTTGCTGGGCAGTGATCTTTACTATTTGAAACTTATATGAAAGAATATTATGTGCCTTGCTGGCTTTCTATGAATATGAATGTGAAGCAATGGGTATCGTAATGTCCCGTATTTAGCACTAAACTAGTTATACATTATTTTCTATTGTAAATTTCAATATTTTGCGTAATGGCCATGTGCTTAGTAATTTCATTGATTGACCAGATTCCTCTAGCTCGATACCTACCTACTTGGAGAGGGAACGTTATCGACGCAGAAATTGAAATGAATCCATCCCGTGTTCTTGGCATGTCTTTTTCTGTCAATGCTGAGGGCGGCGTCCCAGGTGCTAGATCTGGACCAGGTGATTTCAGACTTGAACTTGATTGGATCAAAGCCACGAGAACACAATGAAGTAGTATAGATTTGTTGCAGATAAAAGTCAAGAATTTTGTTCTTGTAGGGTAATTAATTAATTCTGACCCTGTGTTGTAATAATGATGTATCAATTTGTGATTCATAAAGGAAAAATATATTGGTAGTCATTCCACATGGAAGTTCTTTGCAGAAAACAGATTTCATTATTTTCTTCATATTTATAACAGAATCAAGATTCATCGTCACATTGAAATTATATATTGTTATTGCATACAAAATATATTGTCTGTATGAATATATCCAAACAAAAAGACAAACTTTGTCTGAATATATTTTTGGAAGTTTTTTATCCATAAATGTAGGGGATAGACAACGTTGTTTTCTGTTTTGTCACAAGCATCTTGTGATATGTCATACACAGAATTTCAAGTTATAACAACCACAACATATTAGAGATATTGTGATTGAGGCATAGGATATTTTTCACCTTTAAATTCACACCACACTACTCATATTTTTGAATTGATAGGTATGTGGGATCATGATTACTAATATGACTTATCTCATCTATTTTTGGAATAAATATCAATGTCATTAGTTAAAATGAAATGAGTCGGGTTGAATAAGCTACCTTCAAAATTGATTAGAAAATTTTGGTCGGTTCATCAACATTTAAAAATACTTGACCTTAAAAAGTGATTTTTTTTTTCTTTCTTTCTAGAGGATTGAAATCCAATTACACAAACTCAATATTCTTAGTTAGTTAGTATGAAAGTATTTATGCACAATTTCAGTTTCTGTCGTGTACGTGTTGTCCTACTGTTAGATATGTTTGGGTCTACTTAAGGGGTATGGTGATGCTTGATTTTCAGTTTTGTGAACCTTGTCATATGTGTTCTGTGGCATTTCTAGGAACTTCTGATTATAATTGAGCTAGGCAAAATCAGTTTTGTGGACCTTGTTATATGTGTTCTGTGGCATTTCTAGGAACTTATGATTATAATTGAGCTAGGCAAAACGGACCAACTTACCCTTGAGTCACTATCAACCTAGCCAAAATGGATGATGCAGACCAACAGACTGTTGCCACTTTTAATTTGAAAATTTTTTAATGCATCATATCACGTAAAAATATATATATATATATATATATATATATATATATATATATATATATATATATATATATATATATATATATATATATATATATATATATATATATATATATATATATATATATATATATATATATATATATCAAGTCATAAAATTTTTTAATGCATCATATATATATATATATATATATATATATATATATATATATATATATATATATATATATATATATATATATATATATATATATATATATATATATATATATATATATATATATATATATATATATATATATATATATATATATATATATATATATATATATATATATATATATATATATATATATATATATATATATATATATATACCACGTAAAAATAGAAAAGTATTTATAATTTTTGAAGATGCATTTTCGGACGCACCTCATGCACACATAACTCATTTGTTTTTAGTCACGTCTTAATTTTATGACTTAATTTATTACGGAAATGTATTTCTGGAATGTCTCTGAAAATATATTTGTAGAACTCACAAAAACACTTGTATCCTATGGTTACTCACAAAAACACCTTATGAGATTTAAGTGTTTTTGTGAGTTTCGAAAATACATTTTCGAAATAAATTAAGTCATAAAACTAGAATGTGACTCAAAAGCAAATGAATTGTATGTGCATGAGGTTTGTCCGGAAATACATATTTGAAATTTGAGGGGCATTTTTGGTTTTTTCATGAGGTATTTTTCCACCCCAAAGGTGGGATAAGATTTTTCCCTTACTTTTAGGGAGTTACTTTTCCTATTTTTAGGATGCTTACCCGCACAACTGTTTATAGATTTTAAAAATGTATTTTTGGACACACATTTTTTACACATTATTCAGCGCAAATTGGAGTGTCACCTTTATTTTGTTAAATTATAGTTTGGAGATGCATCTCCATATCAACATTAAAGTGGGTCAGGAGATGCAACTTTGTAACAACTCTTAATTTTAAAATTAAGTGAATTTTACATAGATATATCTCTAGAATATGGTGTGTTAGGTCAAACAACACAAACTATAAACAACTATAGAATGTTAGAAAAACAACACAAATTAACATCAAAATACTTAACATTACATAGATTAAGCTCTCATCACTAGGAGGGGCAGCAGCTGTATGATCTAAAGTAACATTAGTAGACTGTAGGTCAATATGAGAAGGATCTAGAGGAAAAATGAAGGTGAAACTACCAAGATGTTCAACAACTCTCACATATTCCATTTGAGTCAGAACTCGAGCTTCATTAGCTTGAATCTCAGCCTTCATTTCTTCCTTCAATTTTTCTCGACCCACTTCAGTTTCTCTTACCACAACTTCAATTTGACCATAATCCCTTCTTCTCTAACCTGATTATCTGTCAAGATCTTCCCGAACTGCTCATCAAAATATGCCCTAGCATCCATAGATAACAATCCAGTACCAGATGCACCAGTTTCATCAGAAGGATCTTTTACCGGCTCCATAATTCGATCATCATACACATGCTTGCTAAATTTCTCAAGATAGTAATAAACGTCATTTGTATCTTTTGATGACGATGATGATCATAAAGACTATTAAAAGTTTAGTTTGATGATGATAATGATAATGAAAATTTTAGAAATTTAAATTAAAATGATGAAGATGAAGTCGAGTCAATAAAAGATAACCTTTAAATATTGCTAAATCAAAATAAATATTGATATGCCATAAGTCCCTTAAGAGAATTGATATGTCATAAATCATAAAAATATATGTCAAAAATTATGTGAACGGATAAGATTGATTAACAAAAAATATATTAAGAGAATAAAAAAAATAATGAGATCAATATAAAATTATCTTAATAGAACCCGAATTTAATTAAACATTATTATTTGTATTAAAAAAAGTGTATATTTATGAAGAAAAGTGAATTAAATTTCATATTAATTTTTATATTTCTAAATATAGGTCTTTAGTCATTAACAAGACACTTCAAATAATAAAGTTACTTCTCTATCAGACCAAATTCACTTGAGAATTCACCCAACATTCTTGTAGCAACTTGGTTTTTGTATTTTATTTTATATTCTTTCATTTCTTTCATCATCACCAAGTTGAAAATGTGATAAAATTTAAAGGCCCCGCATAGGTCAAGTTTAGGCAGCTAAGTTTGAAAAGACCAATGGTTGGTGTAATGCTACAATCTCTTATTGGCGTTTGAATGAATTTGACCCACAAATTTTTAGACGATTGCCATGCTATAGGAACTTATAAGTTATAACAAAAGCAATGGTTTTTTGTTTAGAAAAAAAACAAGCAAGGAAATAAAATAAATTAGGGTCTTGGTATTATGTGTTCTTAAACACATGTAAAGGAATCAAAATATAAAGAAATATTAAAAAAAAATATTTTCAAACTTTTAAACGATTGAATACAATTTTTATGCATAATTTACATTTTGTGATAAAAAGAGACTCACAATTATTATTTTGGTAGAAAGAGATGCAAATTACAATGGCAATATAAATTCAAACACATCAATTATATTGTGACTCGTATTAAACCACCCCAACCCTCAACGATCAATAAGACAAAAATAGGGTTAGGGAGTACACTAACAAAAATTAAGAGGCTCTTTTTTTTATAAGCCAAAACTTTTATTAATCAATGTAGATGGGAAACAAAATAGCTGCCAATACATTTGTATGCTTTACTAGTAATGAATAAGAAGTAATATCCCAACATAATTACAACTAGCATAGAATAGAATGAGTACACGAGGTCCTTGGATGATCCTATAAATAGTTATAACCAAGACATCTTTATGATTCTATAAAGAATATCCATCTCGCGGGCAATTCTATTGTTAAAAATTTCTAGCCCACAAAAAATTCTAGGATGCCGCAAACCAAATTAACATCGCATTTTGTTTAGACGTGTGCTTAACTAAACGAATGAACCACTCTATCATATGATTTTTACAGTTATTTAATTCAATCTACGAAATTTCAACTCACTCCGAAATAGTTTTTCAAACAACTATTATCCTTGGACACGAAATCATAATGTGGTCCAACGATTCAATATCTTCAAAACAGAAAACACAAACTGAATCATGAGAGTCAAAGATTACTGCTCTGGCTGCTAAGTTTTGAGCTCCTTGATTAGTTTAACATGTGCTTTATAGAAGGACAATTGATGAATTGGTAGGTTTGTAAGGATAGAATTGATTAGTGTAACACAACCACCCATAAATAACAACCGTCCATGCCACATTGATAGCCTTGCTTTAAAGCAATCCAATACCGGCTTCCAGAAACTGTACCTCATTTGGTTCCCTCCCACTTGTATGCCAAGGAATTTGAATGGTATACTCCTTTGCCTACAAAACAGAAACTGCGTTGTCGCTTTTAAGAACTTATCATTTACACAAACTTCGTAGATACAACTTTTCCAAAAATTGATACGCAAGCCCGAAACAAGTTCGAAGGCTCTAAGGACGGATTTTATACCCCACAGACTAGACCAATCAGCCTCACAAACAAGTATAGTATCATCTGCAAATTGGACAAGGTTAAAATCTTCCACTTCATTCAATTTAAAACTAGAAAAAAGCTTTGTATACCAGCCCTCCGTACTAGAGAAGCGATCCCTTCGGCCACAATTGCAAACAAGAATGACGGCAGGATCTGCAAATAAGAACGGCGACATGGGGTCTCCTCTTTATAGCATAAAACTAATTGAGTCTCGACATTTATCATAGAAGTCAAACATTTTTATTATATAATCTAGGTTTAATATTCTTTTTGATTTCATATGTTAATCTCAATGTTCATTTTGGTCATTTAACATAAAAAATTCATATTGATCCTCTAACTCATAAAACATATCATGTTAGTCTTTTTCAT